CATCCCATATGTGTGATTGGATATATGCTATAGATAAACATGTTTTGATGGGTATGTGGATTGCATGGTTTTTTTTCTATGTGGTAAATGTCCAAGTGAAATAGAAAGGCAGATTGATAGTATTCTATATACCATTGATACTAATTGCTTAATTAGTGAGGAAGTGAAGCCACTCCTATGTTGTTCAAAGAACTTCCATGTATTGTTCGCTCAGCAACTTAAGTTGCTTCTTTCCCATGCTGCTTCCTGCTCTTCCTGAAGTTGACTTTAAATATTGCAGTCTGGATTGTAAGTGTCTGGCAACAAGTAGATCTAAATTCAGTCTGGATAATGGCCTTTGCAGGCTCTGATTGACTGTTTCCTTACTTCTTGCCCTTCCCATCTGCACAGGGAAGACAATCCTCTAGGCTGGCACCTGTGTTAACAGGTCAACATGTGCCTACTTTCTCCTTTTAGGGCATGTTCCCTCCATACTAATTCCCACTCTTTTCCTTTACTTTCTGGATGTTTGCATACATGAATGCCTTTACAATCTCTTATATAAACACCATAAATCCATCCAAACAGTGTAGCAAGAAACAGCTGATGATTCAGGCAAGAGAAACAAAGTAGCATTGAAGATGGGGGGAGGAGAAAACTGAGAGGGAAACTTAACAATACTGTGGGGGAGGGTATTACAAAGTAACGGGAGCAGAAATCAAAAGGATGCACATTGGGAAAAGTAAGGATTGACTGGAGCAAAGAGTCTCTAGAGAGGTGAGAAAAATGGGCAAGGAACATGGGGCAAGGATGACTTAACAGACTATTCCTGGATCAAGATAATAAAAAATGGCAGGTGCTGGCCAAGAATATAGGAACCTGGCAACCCAAATTGAAATTGCTGCATAGGGTAGGTGCAGCTGCTGGAAAGGGAGGGTGGCATGCCAAGTGCTCTGGCCAATCATATTTAGAGCTGTCATTTGTCAGAAGGAATTTAAGCAGACCACCTGCTTTGAAGGGCATAAGAAGCTGATATTGAACAGAAGGGTGGATATGAAATGGCTTGGCAGTGTTGGAGAGTAAAGTCATCTGTTCAGGAAGTAATAAGTAACTCATACTAACGATAAAACAAGCAGAAAGTACGATTCTGCCCTGAATCCCAGTGATTTTCCTAAGGTGATTTTGTGACTTTATGATTCAGCTACAATGATTCACTCCAGGACATTTAGGTAACAGCACTTTGTTGACTTTGTCAGGCTTAGAAGATAAATAGGGCCAGATTTGGCTAAAGCCTAAATGGGAGTTCAACAGAGACTCACAGATTGGATTGAAAATTGAAAAATATCCCAGGAGAAGATAATGGCAAACCACTTTCATAATGTTGCCAAGAACTGCAATCTTGACCTTCTTTATCCTGATTGTATAGAGATGTTTCTCATTTAAGCTGATTGCAACATTTTATGCTAACATGTTTTGGTTGATCTATTTAGCTTAACACTGATGATCACCTCTATATCTATTTATGGAGCAAAATAAAGGAATTAATAGATGAAAAAAATTACCTTTGGCATTATTGTTGCTTAAGTTAGCAATAAACTCTAATTACAGTTTCTACATTAATGTTATTCACATTTAAAGATATAATTATGAAATAAACATGGGTTCCTGATTTTACCAATTTTTGAGCCTATAGCTGCTTTTAAAGTTCCTGTCAAAATTCAGACTGATTTAGGAAATATGCACATTCCATGACAAGATTGATGCTAAACTTTGGAAAGAAATGTTGATAGCTTCTGTATTTTTCTGAAAGTAGCATCAGTTTTTAAACTATTAAATGCATACATTTTTTTAAAAAAAATAGAAATATAAAGAAGAAAAGATTGGTTTTCCATTCTAAAATAAATATAATTACATATATATTGACTCTACACACATGCATATCCATCATGCTAATTTGTTTCAGGATAAAGTAATATTATACAAATTGTGGGAAGGGAAGGAAGGGGAAGGGAAGCGAAGAAAAACTATTTACTTCAACACTCATCATTTATTTCTATCCTTGCAAACTATCCTTAGTTCCACCACATCTACATGCCAATTCATGTATTGACTTTTGTGCTTTCAATATCTCACCATTCTCTTTTTCAGGATCTTATCAATTACATGCTATCCATCATTTCTCAATCCTCTCCTCCCTTTTGACTCATTAACCTTTCTTCATGTATTTGTACTGTACTCATTACTTATTTTAAATCCATATTTAATCAATGACCACCTATTCTTGATGTTTTATCATATTTAAGCAGCCATTCCCATAACATTATTTTTTTACTTGTTTGTTCTGACATGCTCAACTCACATTTTCATAAAGTAAATTGGGTAGCAGTACACAATTATAACAACCATGTTGCTTCTTTTGACAAACATTTCTTTCTCACAATAGACTGCATACTACCCACCATTTTCCCAGTGGCACTTATACATCTAAAATCTCAATTTATTTTCTTACCCTCAGGTAAATATTCTGTCAAGGTACAAACATTAATCTGCTTGCTCTAGTTTTTGCCACTGCAAATTTTATTCAATTTCCCCTGTCAAACTTGAACAACTAATCTATAATATATGTTTCAGATCCATTCTTTGACATATTACTATAACTCCCATATGAATCTCTAAAATACTACATAAATCTCGCATTTACACTTCTCATTTTCATTCCCACTGATTTCATTTTTATTATTAATTTTATTCACTTTGTTTAGCACCTTTTGCCCAGTTCCAAAATGTTTTTTTAAAAAATCATCAAAGTCATTCTTCATTTGTCATCCTCTTTTAATTTTAATGATTCTTTTCTCTCTTTCACTACTTTTCCTGTCTGTGCACATTATACCAGTGTAACCTAATTATGCCTTTTTCAGGTTTTGAATAATATTACTTCTCCCCCCCCCCCCGCCCAAAAAACATCTGACCCAGCTATTTTACATGAGTGTCTTGGTTCTGAGAATTCCAAACTGGATTCTTGACTGTTAAAACAATCAATTGCAAATTGCTCCATTACCTCCAGGAGTATGCCCAAATTATCCCCAATTTAAGAACCTCTGAATCATGCAATCTATCTCATAATCTATTTTATATCATTATTAATTTTTGGTGGTAATCATTTCTTAAATGCATGCTCCTCGTGCACCACCTCTTTTACTTCTTCATTCCACTAAGCAGTTCTTTTTGGCCTCTGTCATTTTTTCCCTTATGTTGTTGGGAAATTGTTTTATCTTAGAATACCTTTTCATACAAAATTTGTGATTTCTCTTCCTGCAGGTGCTCTGCTTTTACTCGAATTTCTTTTATTCTTGCTCTTTCTTCAATGTCAATTTTTCAAAAAAAATTCACTCTGGAAAAGTGGTCTGGACCACTTCTCATCAATTGTTTACTAATTATCTCAATATTTCATTGTAGACAGTAAAATCAATAATGTTTTAGCTTTATATTCACTTTTTGTACATTGGAATAGATTTAATAAATATTTTATTAATCATGTATTTGTTAATGTAGTAAAAGTGTCCTTTTTCTAAGCAAGTACTGACTGGACAGTCATGATTCTTATTTAGTTTTGGGCATATAAATAATCCAATCATTTTTTTCAGCACTTTCTCACTTCATTCCAGTCACCCACTCATACATATCATCTAACAAAATATTTTTTTCTGGATTGTACTTATTGAAAACATTGTATATCTCCCCCAAATATATATTTGATTTTTCCCCTTATCACCTTTTAATAGAACAAAAAGTAGAATTACTATCAACCTATAGATTCGTATTTAGACAATACCATTTTATACTTTCTAACATTAATTTTATTTTTATTCATAGTTAACTTTAGCACTTCATTTCCCTGCATGTATTCATCACCTTTATGCCATAAGTTCAGATCATTTTCAGAAAAATAATCTATGACATTCTTTCTATTAATTCCAGTGACACAAATCATATTATTTTTCTTGTTTTCTTTAGTTTCCTTCATTATTCCTTTCGCTGTTTATTCCAACTACATTTCAAGTTGACATCTTTGATATGCCAATGTTATCACCAGTAGCATTCAAAGCAAACTGTAATTATACCAACATGACAATATGTGCACTGTAATGTAACCATATAAATGCTGTGATCAAGTATTTGTATCCTAAGTATGAAATAATGGAATTTGCATGACTGTTACATGATTTTATCATTTGCCATCTTTGTCTCCTGCAATTATGTATGTCATCACTCAAAGGACTAACATATATTGATCTCCACTCCTTATTATGGCTTTGGTCAACAAAGACTTTCACAGGATGCTTTTTAGTAAGATAAGGAAGTGTAGACTAAGGTATTAGCCTTAGTTATATTAGTGTTGCATGCAGCATACTGTCTTGATGGTATCGCATAGCTTTCAAACATTTTAGCTAAAATATCAAGTTTTATCTCAAGTATTTGAAAAGATAAAACGTGGCAGTTAGGAAAGATGATATAGTATTGAATGACAGAATGAGGAAGAAAACAAAAGTAAAAATGAGAATTCAAAATAAGAAAAATTGTAAAAACAGTATGCAAGGGAGAGCCACAATTAATGATATCAATAACTTATGCCTTTTGCAAATCTTGAATTGCAAATCTTCAATTTATCATTACTATAATGGTTCAGTTAATTTTTGTAATCACTGATGTCTACCCAGTTCTAGAAGTTTTGCTTTCAGAATTCCTCCCCTCCCCTCCAATCCTCATTCAGCAAAAACATTTCTAAAAAATTGGATTTAAGGAAAAGGATAGGGAACTCAAGATCTGCCAGCATTTTTACAAATGCTTATCTCTATCCAGAACATTTAGTTCTACGAAATATAATAAATTTAATAATCCTATCTCTTTTTTTAAATAAAAACGTATACGCCAGCCAGAATTGCAAACACTATGCAATACACAATTGTCAGTAAGTAAATAAATATAAAGAAATGAACATCATTGTTAGAAAGTATACTTACTTTCAAGTATAATTTTTCTACCAGTCCAATCATCTTTAATAAGTTGTATGTTTCCAAAATGTGCATCACTAAAGAAAATTCGATTAGTTCCTCTTCCTTTCTGTCTATAGTCAAAAGTCAATGCTATTACATTTTTGAAATATTCTGGATTTTCATAAGGTTGCACTGGTGAATTTAAATTTGTCTCATCTGAAAGATGTATAGTTTTTAGTATTGTTCTTCCTGAATAAAGCAAGTAGCCATCATGTCTTAAACATGTCACACCATCCTCTGCTAGATAACCATGTGCACAAGCACAGGTTCTCTGTGCATTTCCCCGATAGAGACAAAGTTGCTGACACCCACCATTGTTTTTGGCACAAATGTTGGTTCCTGTAGGGAAAAAAAGTACAATACAGTATAAAAATAAAACATATAAATATAGTGTATTTAATTATATCGTGCTTAATTTTCATGTTTAATTCAATTCATGTGTCAAAAAAGAAATTTAGTCTAGTAATTAAAGCATTAGGTTAGAAAACAGGAGACTGAGTTTTAGTCCTGCTATAGTCAAGAAAACCCGCTGAATGACTTTGGGCCAGTCACTCTCTCTCAGCCCAACTCACTTTAGAGGAATGTTGTAAGGAAAATAGGAAGCTGAAGGAAAATTAGCTATGTTTGCCACTTCTTTAAATAAAAATAATATAGGCAGGATAAAAAAAATCTAAATTTATATCTAAAATGTTATTAAACTTGCATTGACAGTAATAAGCTAATTTTAAGCATTTTAAAGTATTGAATAGATTTTTATTCAGAACTAGATCAGCTTCTGTACTCAGAATGATTTTTTTGTCAGCAGAAGCAGAAAGATAACTTTCTTAATATCCTGTTCCTGTATGCGCATCTACTGTTCATAAATCTATTCTTTGAGAAAGTGGGAAGTCCAAGGAGGGAATGTGAGTGAAATACTGAAAATTTCCCTCATATTTTCTGCCAGCTTGATAACTTGCTGGATCTAAATATTTGTGTGTGAAGGAAGCCTGCTTTTCTGTATACAAGTAAAAGCACACACACACACACACACACACACACACACACGCATGCACACACACACACACACATTGATACTATTACAACTGAATAACACAGATAATTTTGGCACTGTTGATATTTGTTATGTGCTATTTTTTGTACAGTACAGTTGCTTAACCTTCAGTATTTTTAAAAAAGCATTTGTGTTCATTGAAATAATTAGCATTCAGTGAAAACAAATAGCACAAATTAGTTATTGTTATTTATGTTGTGGGGTGGGGTGGAAATATTTTAAAGGGGGAGAAATTATTTTTTAGGAAAACTCAAAACTGCAGTTTTTATTCCAGTGCTTGAAGGCAGCCAGACAACAGCAGATTCAACACCACTTTTAAACAGATATTAAGCCAATATACTGTTGCCAAATCATCATTTTTTTTTGCCAAATGTAATTTCTTGTGCATTTAAACTATGCAAGAATTAGCAGGTAAAGTCTTTTATGGCTTAAACATTGCTTACTGCTGCAAATTAGAGAGTTGATAAAGCTAAAGCTATAATATTATTTCATAGTGATATTTAGTTTGACAATGCCGTGTTTCTGAGACTCAGAGATTTTTCAATAACTTAATCACTAAAATCTTTAGTCAAGAATGGGAGAATTGTATTCCACAGCATGTGAGCACATAACATCTGGCATTTAGGTATGAATTCCAGGCGTTCGGATTCTTATATGGTATGAAGGATAGATTACACTTCCTCTCTCCAGTATTTCTAATTATACACAGCATCTTTTTCTATAAGACAAATAGATAATTGATGGTAATTGATCATATTCCTATGAGCCTTGCTATGTAGTTGTACAGATAGGTACAATATGTTCACAGAACTTATTTTTTTAAAATAAGCACTTTTTAGACCACACACAAATATACATACACATATATACATGCACATACACATACATATGCCCATGCATCCACACATATATATTTATACACACAAACACAATAACACACACACACACACAAAAATTAGGTGACTGGTATTAAATGTTATGTCATCCATGGATCTTGCTGGGATCCCATTCTTTAGAAATGAGTATATCAAATGTCACCAATAACCCTTGTCTAGAATGATAAAGTGAACTAATTAGATATTAATTTCAATTATTCAAGTTTCTGCTAACCAAATAATAAATAAATTGTTTCTTTTAGTTAGAAAAAAGTAAATATTTATGAAAATAAATAAATACTATGTAGCTATCATTCATACTACCTTTACTAATGAATGCTTTAGTCAGCTGGAAAGATATGTATCCCTGGAATACTTTAGGGAAGGTACATATACTGTATAACAGTTTTATCTAGAATGAAGTTTAAAAGTCCCATCTTTCTTAACTTTTTTTTTACCCAACTAATAAATAAATAAATAAACATTTTGGCTGTGGTTTGTTCTCCAAGCTTGTTTCAATATAATTTCTGAACGTTTCATTACCAAACTAGGTAATATTATCATCCGAATTATCTTGTCCTATTCTACTTAGCTTATAAATGTCTTGTGTGCTGGTGTGGTCAGTTGGCCGTACGATTGGTTGTTTCTTTGGAGCTATATTTGAATTCTGAGCAGCTGATTGGTTCTCTTGTTGATTGTCTAAATGTAGAACCTTACTCTTTTCACCATTAAATTTCATTTTGTTAGTTTGTCAAGATCTTTCTGTATCTGGGCGCTATCTAACAAAATGAAATTCAATGGTGAAAAAAGTAAGATTCTACATTTAGGCAAGAAAAATCAAACATACAGGTATAGTATAGGGGGGTACCTTGCTCAATAGTAGTAACTGTGAGAGGGATCTCGGGGTCCTAGTGGACAATCATTTAAATATGAGCCAGCAGTGTGTTGCAGCTGCCAAAAAAGCCAACACAGTGCTAGGCTGCATTAACAGAGGGATAGAATCAAGATCACGTGAAGTATTAATACCACTTTACAATGCCTTGGTAAGGCCACACTTGGAATACTGCATCCAGTTTTGGTCACCACAATGTAAAAAAGATGTTGAGACTCTAGAAAGAGTACAGAGAAGAGCAACAAAGATGATTNTTTAACGAAGAGAAGGACGAGGGGGGACATGATAGCAGTGTTCCAATATCTCAGGGGCTGCCACAAAGAAGAGGGAGTCAAGCTATTTTCCAAAGCGCCTGAAGGCAGGACAAGAAGCAATGGGTGGAAACTAATCAAGGAGAGAAGCAACCTAGAACTAAGGAGAAACTTCCTGACAGTTAGAACAATTAACCAGTGGAACAACCTGCCTCCAGAAGTGGTGAATGCTCCAATACTGGAAGTTTTTAAGAAGAAACTGGACAGCCATTTGTCCAAAATGGTATAGGGTTTCCTGCCTGAGCAGGGGGTTGGACTAGATGACCTCCAAGGTCCCTTCCAACTTTACCATTATTATTATTATTATTATTATTATTATTATTATTATTATTATTATTACTATTACTATTACTACTATTATTACTATTATTACTATTATTACTATTATTACTATTATTACTATTATTATTATTATTATTATTATTATTATTAAAGTCTTAAGTCTATCTTCTGGAGTGTTGGCTATTCCTGCCAGCTTGGTGTCATCTGCAAATTTGTTCCTCATCTATGCCTTCATCCAAATCATTGATGAAGATGTTGAAGAGTACTGAGTCTAAACAAAGCCTTGGGGTACCGCTCTGGCTCTGCATACTTCCCTCCATGTAGATGCAGTTTTATTGAGGACTATGCATTGACTGTGGTTGGTCAGCCAGTTACTAATCCATCTGGTGGTGATGCTCTCTAACCCACATTTTTTCTATCTTATCAAGTAGTACTTTATCAAATGCCTTACTGAGGTCCAAGTAAATTATCTCCACAGCATTCCTCTGGTCTACTAATTTTGTCACTTTGTCAAACAATGCAATAAGATTTGTCTGGCATGATCTGTTTTTGATAAACCCATGTTGGCTTTTGGTTATGATTTTTTTGCCTCTAAGTGTTTGCTGATTCATTCTTGATTATCTTTTCCAGAATCTTCCCAGGTATTGAGGTCAGGCTGATAGGTCTATAGTTTCCTGGATCTACTTTCTTCCCTTTTTTGAAGATGGGAACTACATCAGCTCTTTTCCAGTCCTCTGGTATTTCCCCAGTGCTCCAGGATCTTTGAAAGATATAGTTCAGTGATTTTGAGATCACACCTGCAAGTTCCTTGAGAACCTTGGGGTGTAATCCATCTGGTCCTGGTGATTTGAACTCGGCTAGGAGGGATAGCTGCTCACTTACCACTTTCTTGCCTATCTTAACTTGTGTTTCTATTCTGTTTTTTATGGCACTATTTTTGATAGGTTGGTCTGTTTTTTCCCTTTGTGTAAAGATTGATGCAAAAAAGAAGTTAAGCAGTTCTGCTTTCTCCCTTCTTGTCACCTTCTTGCTACTTTCTCCCATTAATGGACCGATTGTTTCCTTGACTTTTTTCTTGTTTTTTACATGTTGAAAGAAGCTTGGGGGGGGGGCGTATTTTGGACTTTTGTCACAAGCTTTAGTTCACTTTGAGCCTTAGCTTTCCTCACTTCATCTTTGCAGGCTCGGCTATTTGCTGATATTCTGCCTTAGTTATTTGCCCCTCTTTCCACTGTTTATACTTGTTCTTTTTGTCTTTCAATTTATCAGAGAGTTCTTTATGCAGCACAAGTACGTATGTATATAAAATCATATACACATCTCTCTTTCTCTCTCTTTCCTATCTATCTATCTATCTATCTATCTATCTATCTGTCTGTCTGTCTGTCTGTCTGTCTGTCTGTCTGTCTGTCTGTCTGTCTGTCTGTCTATCTATCTATCTATCTATCATCTATCTATCATCTATCTATCCATCTGTATGTGTATGTGAATATGAATGTAAATGTGGATGGATGGATGGATAGATGAATAGACAGAGAGACAGAGAGACAGAGAGACAGACAGACAGACAGACAGACAGATAGCAAAAATATTATTAATGGTGATTTAACTAATTCATGTGAAATTCAAAAAGGTACGAGACAAAGATGCCCCTTGTCTCCTCTGTTGTTTATTTCGGTCCTGGAACTTTTGAATAGAGATATTAGGCAAGATGAGAGAATAACTGATATAAGTATCAAGAAAGAAGTTTATAAATTGAGGGCATTTGCTGATGATTTGATTATATTCCTGCAAGACCCAAAAATAAGATTTGATGAGGAAATTAAATGAGTTTGTGGCTCTAGGTTTTAAAATAAACAAACAGAAAACAACAGTGTTGATTAAGAATATGTCCTCTCAGGATATATTGATTAAAAAGACTGATTTTGAGGTTGAGAAAAAGGTGGAATATTTGGGGGTTATGTTGACAAATGCAAACACAAAATTGTTTCAAAATAATTATGAACTTCTTTGGAATGATATTAAAAAGGATCTACAAAGATGGGACAAATTAAATTTATCACTACTGGGTAGAATTTCTGTAATTAAGATGAATGTTTTACCAAAGATGCTCTTTCTGTTTCAGACAATCCCAATACTTGCAACAAATACTCAATTTAAACAATGGCAGAGGAATATTTACAAGTTTATATGGCAAGGAAAGAAACCAAGAATTAGATATAAGTTATTGCAAGATGCTAAGGAAAGAGGAGGTTCGGTTTTACCAGATTTGAAATTGCATTTTGCTGCATGTTGTTTGGCCTAGCTAAAAGAGTAGGTGAACCTCCAGAACAAGAGGCTACTTGATCTGGAAGGCCATGAATTAAGTTTTGGATGGCATGGTTATTCATGGTATGATAACGTTAAAGTAAATGTTAACTTTAACAATCATTTTATTAGACATGCCATATTAAGAATTTGGAATAAATATAAAACAAGGTTTTTTATGAAGTTGCCTCTTTGGGTGTGTCCCCAATAAGCATTTTTAAGAAAAGAAATGACGGTGAAGCTGGACTGGTAGACGTATGGTAAAATAATATTTTTTTAATTTTGGTGACCCTACCCTCAAGTCTAAGGAAGAATTAGAAGGTCATGTCTGCCATTGGTTTACATACTTAAAAATGAAAGAAAGATTTAAACTAGATTTAAAAAGTCATGGGTTTGACTTTTCAAAAACTTTCACAACTTTTTGTGAGCTACTTATGTATTGGGGTTTTTTTCTATATTTATATCTTTATTGTCTCCTAATGTAGATATTCTTCTCTTTACTCCCTTCTCTTCCTCAAAAACTATGCTCATTGTTTTCCTATCAATAAGAAGGTAAACAAAGTAATTTACTAGTGTATTAAAGATTCATGGATTCTATATTGTATACAATTATTATTTTTAATTTAAAACTTTGACACATAGAAGAGAAAATGGTGCTAATTTTCAAATTTGGAGCAAGACTTTTAGGCGACAATAGCAACATTTTAGACTTCAAAAGGGTAGTAGCTACCGTAAATTATTGTCTTCTATTTTTTTCCTGATAGTAAAAATTATGTCATAGAACGATGCTCCCTGCAGGATATTCTGACATGAAAGCTTAGCAAACCTTTTGCTACATTTTTTTTTTTGCCATTTGGAAAACTTTTTAAGATATTACTGCTACAAGTATCTTCTAAACATTTTCAGACTCACCTTTCCTGAAAAAACGATTAAAGGAGGAATTTGGGAAATTTTACAAGTAATCCCTTTAATTAAACCAAATGTATACCTTATTATAACTTGTTTCCTGATAATTTACTAGTTTTAGTACTGCTGTAGGAATGTTCCACTCTTTTCTTAACAGCTTTTCATTACTTGTCTTAATAACAAACACTCAGACAAATTTGTGCAGTTGAGAAGAAAGCACTCAACTGTCTTTAACTGGATAAAAGATTAATAATAATAATAATAATAATAATAATAATAATAATAATAATAATAATAATAAGTAGTAGTAGTAGTAGTAGTAGTAGTAGTAGTAGTAGTAGTAGTAGTAGTTGGAAGGGACCTTGGAGGTCATCTAGTCCAACCCCCTGATCAGGCAGGAAACCCTATACCATTTCAGACAAATGGCTGTCCAGTCTCTTCTTAAAAACTTCCAGTGTTGGAGCATTCACCACTTCTGGAGGCAGGTTGTTCCACTGGTTAATTGTTCTAACTGTCGGGAAGTTTCTCCTTAGTTCTAGGTTGCTTCTCTCCTTGATTAGTTTCCACCCGTTGCTTCTTGTCCTGCCTTCAGATGCTTTGGAAAATAGCTTCACTCCCTATGATAGTCATTCAAGTATTGGAAGACTACTTTTTGTCCTCTCTTCTTTAGGCTCAACATACTTAGTTCTTTTAACTACTGTTTTTTGAATGTAGCCTTCAAGCACACCATCATCTTTCACTCTTCATTGCACTATTTCAAATTTCTCAATATACTATTTCTATTGTAGAGGCAAAAAGACATAATGTTCCAATTGTGGTCCAACCAATGCAGTTTAAGTAGAAATATTAGTTCTTGTGATCTCAGCATTATATCTATGTTGATGCAGGCCAAGATTACATTGTCTATTTTGGCAACTACAGCATACTACTGATTCATGTTTAAAATATGGTCTTTTAGGACACCTAGATCCTTCTATTTCACAAGTACTACTGCTGAGTCTTGTCCTACCTATATCTGTGCATCTGATTTTTGTTTCTTATTGAATTGCAGAACTATACAATTTCATTTGTTTGGAAAACTCCTATGTTCAAGATCCTTTTAAACTCTCCTCCTGTTTTCTGAAATGTTAGCCATCTGCTACTGCTTTGAATCATTTTAAGTATGTGTTTGTGTTGTTTTAATTTTTTTTCCATAAATGGATGAAACTCATCTGTATGGTTTATAAGCTAATGCCAATATCCAATATATGCCAATATGGAAAATTTAAATAATTCATTTATTTCAGAATTCATTATAGTAAATAATAGCATCATCACTACAGTATCTCCACATGTACAATCAAACACTTAAGTCTACAATAAGAGTTACCTTTTTCACGACCTCTGTTGAAAACCTTTACTTCCTTCAAGTTTATTCCTAGGCCTGTCCTCATGGATACTGTCTCTGTGGCATCATTTTTTTTGCTTCGTCTGATAGATCCATTTGCATGAGCTCTGCCAAAAAATGTTGAAGGTATCTGACCCATAGTTCTCAACTAATTAAAAGTGAAAGAGACATTAATATGCAAGGAACATATGACCTAACAGAAACTGAAGAAACTGGTGTTTTGTTTTGTTTTTAATTTGCATTGTTGATATAGTTTAGCTATGTTGAATATTAAAAAGCCTTTAAAAAAAACCTCTCACTATGTGAGATCCTTTTAGTGATATTAGTAAAGAATTGCTATTTCTATAGGGGTGAAATATCCAGCACAGAAGTAACATTTTGAAACACAAATACTTATAGAAAAATAAATTACCTGTCAGACCAGTAGATGTAAGCCCCAAAGACTGTGACTGAAAACATATCCACATTACTTCCTGACAGTACAATCTCCCGATTTCTTCCACTCTCAAGGTCAATTCTTTCTATCTTGTCCATTCGAGCATCACACCAATATAATTTATTTTCCTAAGAATCAATCAAAAAGTAAACTCCAAATATTTTATCCTATTTTTAATTAAGGCAATAAAATAGATTGTGATATTCATATTTTAGCATAATGTAGCATGAATTATATGTAGAAAAAAATAGGAAAATTCACCTCAAGATCAACAGAAATTCCATTAGGCCACATGGCACCAGTACCAACAAGAACAGTCTTCTCTGATCCATCTAAACGAGCCTTGCCTATACATGGTGCCTGTCCCCATTCTGTCCAGAATAAATAACTAGAACATGAAAAAATATTATGATCAAAAATAGGTTTATTGAAACTAATGGGTTGGAACAGAAGGAAATTTGTGGAAGTTTTCATCATCACCACCCTTCATAGTGAGGTCCCTTTCCCCACATAGCTACCCATAAATATAAGAGACATCCTGAAATGACTTAAAAGAGGGGGAAAGATCCTGTAGAAAAATTAAAATAAGCCAAGTTCCAGAAGAGAAACCCTGATGTAAATATTACAACTTTATGAAGGTAGCATTTTTCAGAGATAAATAGGTAGACCTATAAAATATTTCCATCTTTTTTAAAAAATGAAAAATTGCTGATGTCTATTCATTTTAGCTATTGCACTTTTTTCCTTCTAATATGTTCATATGTGCTTCTATATCTGCAAATATACTTTGTGATTTTTTGTTGTTAATCTGAAATGTGAAGCTCAGCTTGTAAAACTTTCATACTCATGTATTCCTGATCAATTCTAAATAACATGGTTTTGAACCCTCATCTACCCCTGACAATTTACTAAGGAAAGATAGAGACATATCTGACATCAGGTTGCATTTCTGACAACCTAAAAAAAAATTCTGATCCCCCCCATTCCTCCAATTAAGAATCACTGCATGCCCGACATCATATCTCCTGACACCAGAGCTGTAACTGACTATGTCCCAAATTATGGAGACACTGTTGCTTTACCAGTATTCCATTTCTTCCCATGATACAAGCATTATCTCCACTAGAGGTGGCAGTTCACCCCTTGGACCACTCAATGAATTGGCTAAGAATTGTTCATAATTGAATGACCCTGATTTCTAGAGAGGGCATGGAAATGACGTTGGGGAGAGCAGCCAGAAAGTATTAGAAAAATAACAGGTGCAGAAGAAGCAAGTGTAAGCCCAGATGGAGGGAAAAGAATGAGAGAAAGACTCAGACTGACTCCCCCCAACTTCTTTGGATATATGAGGGAGGGAAGAAAAAACACAAACAGACTTGCAAGATTCTTTTATTGCAGCCTATCTCAAATACAGTATAGTTTTAATCTTTCTGTGGTCATTTTCTTGATCTGGTCTATCTCACAGGAACTGACAGTTTTCTGGAATATTGTAGGATGAGAGAAGATGGATGGACCTCTTCCCTTTCTAGATTTATTTTGTATTTATAGCCTAATTCTGTAGCAGGAAATCTGGTACCAGGAGGAGCTGACTCTGTAAGGGTTTGTCACATATTCTCTCAAAGCTACAACAGAAGCTTCCAGAGATTATACCCCAGGAAGCTTTTACATGTGGATTTCAAACAACCTTGATGCCTCAAACATCTAGCTTGCATCTTGTGAGAATATAGCTTTATTATCAATAATTAATTTGCCTAATCTATTTTCCCCTTTCAGGCTGCTTTCCTTGACTACTGCCCAATGGGATAAATTGGAAAATTACCTTCCCAAACCCACTTGGGATCATCCAATGCAGCCATAATAATAGCAGTCTTCTTTCCTACTTTGGCAGCTATTTTCCCCTTCAAAAGGATATCCTAGCTATGTAATTCCAGGTACCCCAAAATCAATTTAGCAGGCTATTAATACAGCTTACCAATAATTTTCAGCTCTCTATACAGATAATCCTCAAGATAGGACAGGACCATGGGGATGTGGCAGTATTCCCTCACTTCTCTCTCCCAAACCCATCCCAAAAAGAGTCTTGCAACACTTAGGCCTGCTTCCCATGTCTCCATTTTCAGCACTCAAAAAATTCATCATCATGCTTTCAGAGTTTTCTGCTCCAAGCAGCTGGCTATTGGGAGACTGCAAACTTTTCCTGGCTCTTCCTAGGTTTTGGGAACCCAGACCCTATTATGCAAAGGCAGTAATTTCAGGATGAGCTTCCTAAAATTTTCCCTTGCTTTAATACCCCCTTCTCTCTGCAAAACCAACATTTCTTCGATAAGCTCAAAAAAGTTAGGAGGGACAGACTTGTTCATCATTATTATTATTATTATTTATTATTATTACTTTAATTTATACCCCGCCCTTCTCCCGAAGGACTCAGGGCGGCTTACAGGCAAATAAAAAACGAAACTATACAATAAATATCTAAAAACAATTAAAATATATATTAAATTAGCCTGTTATTTTTAGAAAAGTTATAAAATCCCTATTAAAATCCCTATACAATCCCCCCCCTAGGCC